CTGTTTTAATCACTGAGACAACCTTAGATTTCGCCACATAGCCTATCGCTTATTTTCAGTTATCATACTGCAGATCCTATTCTTATCATCTTCAGAGCCAACCGCAGAGCAAACCGCAGAGCCAACCGCAGAGCCAACCGCAGAGCAAACCGCAGAGCAAACCGCAGAGCAAACCGCAGAGCAAACCGCAGAGCAAACCGCAGAGCAAACCGCAGAGCAAACCGCAGAGCAAACCGCAGAGCAAACCGCAGAGCAAACCACAGAGCCAGTCGCAAAGCCAGCCGCAAAGCCAAACTCCCCTAACAGCGACACAAGCCCAACCGGCATCATATCCAAGTCCCCTTACTCAAGAACCCACAAGCGATAGCACTACGTCCATGACAAAGGTATTCGCAACTCCATCAGGAAGCTGTGCTCTGGCTTTTATGAATCAAACGGAGAAACAAGGTACACTATCGGCATCTGTGCCACCAATGAGCGGAACCCCTGCATTTTCAGGACCGGGTCCAACTCCGACATCTATCCAGCCAGAGAACCGTGTTCCCGGGTTTCTAGGAACCCCTTCTTCATTCCAACCTACATTGTCACAGGAAAAACCAACTCCGGGTTCTGCAAGACCCCATCCGCAACCTGCAAAACCGGCAGCCTTTCGACACAACATAGGTGGTCCAGTTCCCAGCCCAATGGGAGGCAAGCTGAAACCAAAATTCCGTGTACCTGCACCCCCTGCACATGTGCCTGTACCAGGTTCCAAAGAGGCAAAGGCTAGAAAACGTACATTTGCAGAGATTGTGGATTTATCTCAACTTCTCAGTGACGATGAACATCTACCACCCTCCGCCAAAGACCCACGTTTGGAGAATGCACCACCCGAAGGCTACCTGGATGTTGATGGTCATAGCGTGCCGCCACTCACCTCTGCCACCCCTGAAACCGCTGGAACCCCTGCTCCTCCCTCAAGGAAGCTGGATCTATCACAATCTAGAATGACTAATTCGAACACTTCTGCGGAAAACGAAGCACTCCGAAAACGTGCAGATATTGTAAAGCCGTTAAACAAGGCGGAGGCATTGAAAACGCGGTACTATGATCCTAAGACCATTGCGAGAGACATTTTGATTGCCACTGGACGTCACCCAACTCAACGTCCCTTGAACCAGCACCTTTCAAAACTGCGAGATAATTTCTTAGCTGTTGATAATGCGTCTGATTTACGAACATTCCGCTGGGATCTCGTCGATCCTGGCGGACCTCCACCTCCCGAAGTGCCTCTTGTTGATGCTATTTCCAGGCCTCCTTCGCTCACTATTCGCCCGTACCGAACGCCACCAAATCGCTTATTTAATCGAATCCCACGTGACCAGACCAAGGAAGACTTTACCTCTCGATCTTCTTTACGTCCTCATACTCCGTCTCATCTTCGCATATCTCAGACGCTCAACGGTGATGACCCGTCACTTCATGATCAGAATAATAATATTAATAATATTAATAATAATAATAATTTCCTGATGAATTCCACTCCTCCAATCCCCGGACCTCGTCGCCGTGGACGCCCTCCTGGCGCGAAAAACAAACCCAAAATTGCAGATCGAGTTGAGATTACGATTTCGACAAGTTCACAGGTATCACCCTCGCGACAACCATACCACATATACGAATGCAAGTGGAGAAACTGCGATGCCCAGCTTCACAACCTTCAGACACTGCGGAAACACGTCACTCGCCTCCATGTTCCCAAAATCAGCACGAGCGTCACGTCCTGCTTGTGGACAGGGTGCAGCGCCCCGGGAGCTGATGGAGGGAACAATTTCACAACATGTGATGAGCTGCGTGATCACTTGGAGAAAGTACACTTGAATGAAATTGCATGGACGCTGGGTGAGGGCCCAGGGTCGGTAAGATCCGGTGAGACAGGCAAACTCAGCAACCCAAATGTTGTTTTATGAGCACAACATCGTCTTTCCAGAGAAAGAGATAAAAGAAGGAAGAAAAATAAAAATCTAGAAAATTTCTCATTATCTTTTTTGCTTTCTCTGTTTCGTCTAGGTCATCAAGATTCCATTATCGACGACTATCTTAATGATGAAAATGGTCGCACCGTCATTGCCAAGGCAACTACTAAAGGCACACGGCCTACCCTGGTTCTCCCCGCGACCTACAGGTCGATTCGGTCCTTTAACAAAATGTACGGTATCGAGAGCGACAAAGCAAAGGCGCTGGAGGTGATGCGGGCTATGGAAAAGAAACAAATGATGGTTGGGATAGGTCTGGGACGCAGCGGGTGTACATTCATGAACCCGAGAAGACAGGAGACGATCGCTGACTCCGAAAGCGTTTTTGAGATTATACCTGAGGAAGATGGTAGGGATAATAATGATCTCTAGGGCACTGAAACGTTTCCGTGCGAAATTGGTTTTGATTGAATTGCTATCTTTCTTTTCCCTGCAAAGTTATACTCTCCGACGTTTATAGATGCCAAGAGATGTCATTTTGCGGCGAATATGGGTATTGGGGGTCACTGGTGTTGTATTGGAGAGAGAAAGTCGTTAAACTACCGCTTATCTTTTATGTACTTCTTTCCGTTTGTACATTGGAGGGTTTGGGGAGAGAATTTCTTGAAGCTAGGCCCAGAACCTGGACAATACATTAAATTGATACATCCCTAAGGGTATCTATGAACCATACATTCCCGATGTGCCTGAGGAACAAATCTATTCTCAAATTCACATCGATAGAGATAACCACCCTGGCATTTGCGTCTTAGGACAGGAAATGGAGTCGCCATGTAACATGCAAGAACGAGTTCGTACACATGATAAAACGTAGGACATGCATCCATCTTGTATAGTACATTCACGGACAGGTAGCAAAGGTGGTTCCGTTCTCGTCTTCATCGGGTCTAATCCAATCGCAGCCCATTCCACTCCTCCACTCCTCCTGTCCTCCTGGAATCTTAACCTTTTTGATCCCTTCTTATCACTTGCTATCCTTTCCTACTAGCAGCTCCTCCACCAGCTGCAGTGGCAGAACTTTCAACCGGGGTCGCGCCTTGTGTGACTTTAACCAAAGGCTCTTCGGAGGCAGAGGTAGTGTTGGGGGAGTCTTTGGCATTGATTTCGAGAAAGTGGTAGAGGATGATGAGGAGCATGGCACTGGAACCGAGGAAGATGGCGAACTGGTAGAGTTGGTCGTTGGAGATCATTTTGGCGACTTGTTATAGCTGCTTGGTGCTGTGGCGGCGTGTAAGCAAATGTCCAAATGGTAAGGAAAGTATTAGGATAGGAGAAGACCGCGGATGGTTATTTAGTTAAATATTTCTTACTTTCAGCTGGTCTCCAAATCATTAATCCCCAGACTGTCAGTTTCACAGCTGGTAGAGATTTCAATATCCCTCTTTTATGATTTTATATATCTGTGTGTTGCGTTGTCTGCTTCTCTTCGCAGCATTCCCAAGATGCACTTGTCCTATGGTTATGTAAGTAACTGGAGAACGGCCCCTCTTAAGCACACAGCCTCCCCTATTGCCACTGTCGCCAAGCCTAATCCTTTCCACCAAAAGTTCCCTTTCCAGCTCAGGCTGTTTTTCTTTCCAGCAGCCTTGCCATCTTCACTCCACACTGTGCAGTGATATACATACATAGGAACATAGGTGGACATATGGAACAACAAGTGACAACCCAGCAATAAAGTCACCCTATCTCACCCTATATATATATATTTACATCATATTCCTCCACCCATTCTCTGGCTGGCTATATGGGCTGTTGGAGCTGCCACGCGGATTCCTGCTCCCGCTGTCTTCCACGACGTGATTTCGAACAACAACCCAGAATATATTCTAAACAACTGCCTACCAAGGTATTTAAGCCTATACTACCACACCCACTTACCTTCACACTCACCCGCTCTCTACATACGGCAATATGCCGCCCAAGAAGGGTAGTGATCAGCCGAAGAAGTCGAAGGCGACGGTGGAGGATAAGGTAGGTCGTCGATCTTCGTTGTCACTGTGTGGTTGAGAAATTATTTATAGATTGCTAACCCCGACGCTTTTAATCTATTTTCTAGACCTTTGGCATGAAAAATGTACGTGGCTAATTACTGATGCTACCGTATATGTATCGAACCACTTTCCTAGCTCAGGTGTTAACAATTGTAATACAGAAAAAAGGAGGAAGTGCAAAGAAACAGATAGCCCAGCTTCAAGCCCAAGCACGATCAAATAAGACTGCAGATGACAAGAAGAAAGAGGCTCAACGAATCCAGCGGGAAAAGGATAAGGCTGCCGCTGAACAGGCCAAGCGCGAAGCTGCAGAGCTCTTCAAACCTGTCCAGGTCCAAAAAGTACCCTTTGGCGTCGACCCTAAAACCGTCCTCTGCGTATTCTTCAAAAAGGGGAGTTGTGAGAAAGGGAAAAAATGCAAATTCAGCCACGACTCTGCGGTGGAGCGGAAAGCGCAGAAGAAAGATTTATATTCCGACTCCAGATATGCGGAGGAGGACAAGAAGCTGGATCTTATGGATAACTGGGACGAGGAAAAGTTGAGAAATGTCGTGCTGAGCAAGCACGGTAACCCGAAGACGACAACTGACAAGGTCTGCAAGTACTTCATTGAGGCCGTGGAAAATCAGAAATATGGCTGGTTCTGGGTTTGCCCTAACGGAGGGGATAAGTGCATGTACAAACACAGTCTGCCACCTGGGTATGTTCTTGTTCCCTGTTTTACGGGTGGACTTTTGGTAACTATCTTCTAATCCATGTCTACGGCGTTCAGATTCGTCCTTAAAACCAAGGAGCAAAGAGCTGCTGAAAAGGCTCTGATGGACAAATCTCCCCTGAAAACTCTGACCCTTGAAGATTTTCTCGAGTCCGAACGCCATAAACTTACCGGCAAGCTAACCCCAGTCACTCCAGAAACGTTCGCCAAGTGGAAAAAAGAACGTCTTGACAAGAAAGCTGCGGAGGAAGAGGCCCGGAAGGCGAAAGATGCCAGCGGTCGTGCCATGTTCGAAAACGGCGACTGGAACGCATCAGAAGACGAAAGTGGTGATGGCAGCGATCATGACGACGATGATAACCAAAATGAATGGAATATGGAGTCGCTGCGCAAAGAGACCGAACGGCTACGGGATCAATCTGAGGAGGAACGCATTGCAAAACTTCGCGGTGCTTCATCTCAGGTGCATGCAAACGGCGCCGGCCTAGACGAACCATCAAATCCAGTCGATGGAGCAGGATAGAACAAGATCAAAACAGCGTTGACTCTTTCACTCCAAAGATGGAACTTCAGTGATGAACGGACGGTTTCGACCTCACCATCCAGTCATTCAATATGATGTCGGGTCTCGTTCTGATCTGGCGACCTGGTGTCTCCCGCTCAGTATCTGCGCTGGGGCTACACCACGTTCTCTCTCCCAGCTATGGCAAACGATGCCTGCCAACACAAAAATTACGAGTGGTTGTTTGGTTTTGGTATTTTATGATAAAGATGTGAAATGTGAGATGTGATGTTATCGTGGATAATGGATATATGTCAACATTACTATATATTTCATTTATCATTTCTTTTTATGCAGCTATTTTGTTCTCAGGAAGAAAATATATAAACTCTTATTTCTTTGTTCATGATGAAATAATGAACGGGAACCACAGCATGTCCTGACTGACATGTCTTTTGGGGTCTGACTCTCCCTCTCTCCCTCTCAGGCAATTAGGTTGTTTTTTCTTTGTATTCATTTCCCGCATTCTTATTTGGCAGTCGCTCCGTTATTGGCTTTAAGTTTCCACAAATCTTGCCATTGTGATCGTTTTTTTCTTATTTCAAACCAACTTTTGAAGAATGGAAGAGCAGCACCCTTCCCTTTAACAATCTGGGCCATATTTCCTCTTAACTATTGAGTTATGCGTATGGGTTGGAACTCAAATTTACTTTTTTTACTTTTTATTGCACAAAAAAAGGAATAGAGAAGCGTTGTTATTCATACCTGTCATATATATTTCCTGCATTTGATTCCTTACAATTCCTTTAATCTTCAAGCCTCTCTTGACCCAGCTTTCATAAAGAACCAAATGGTGTTGAGAATACTTTCTAGAAACAAGTCTTTTAATACTGCTTTCTACACTCTATGTTTCTTAAGGCAAGATCAGCACACATCTTAGGGGCTTTTAGTCTCTCCAAGGGGGTGACAAAAACCTTTGAAAAACCAATGCCCGGCTATCTTTCTTTCTCAAGCTTCTCTCCCTGACGGCATTTGTTTCTTTGATTGACATTTTACCGCCTTTTTCCTACATGATGCACAATGTGGATATGCCCGTTTCAAAAGCTCAGGAGATAAAAAGTATCAACTGCACTCTTTGAACCTCCTACACTTCCTTCACTTCCTGTGTGATATACCAACTACGTCAAATGCACTTCGGAAAATCACGCTTTAACTTTCTGGTCGTAATCATCATAATATTTCTTACTGGAGTTCACCCTCTTACGTCACGTTCGGAGGTTTGCCATGGATGAGGAAGCCCGATTGCGAACGCCTACCCTGGACTCGAGCAGCTCATACAAGACTTTCATAGACGATGGAAGTTTTCCTGGCTCAAACTTCGGAGAGAAAACACAGGATGCCCAATTAAAGAAAGAAAACAGAAAAACAATGAGAAGAGAAGTAATGACGAGCATCCCCTCAGGTTTTATCAACTATGACTTAGGCAAAAGACATTATTATAGCAATGATATAGATAACGACTCTGAGCCTGAATACAATATATATGATGATGGCAGCCAGAGCCGGTCTTCTCCTCGTCCTTCCCCCAATGCACAAGCACGAAACCATAAAGAACGCGACTATGCAGGAGTGCTCAATAACTCGTATAATTCGCATGCAATCCCACATCGTCGTCGTCGTCGTCATCATACAACAGACTCTGGATCACCAGTGCGACAACCAGAGGTGGAAAACACTTCACTCTATACAACAGTAGCTGGGATAAGCCATCCCAAACAGCGTCGACGGCTAAACCGCCGACTCTTCCACATACACATGGAGACAGACGCAGATGTAAATATAGAAGAATCTCTTGAGACGGCCAGCGTAGAATGCCAACATGTCCATAGGTTTCCTATCCAAGGCATGCACAACACTGGTAAACGGACACAAACCTAGACACAAGGCCCCTTCATCGACAAAACATTCCTCCCGAAACCAACATTCCACCTGTTGAGGGAGTAACTGCGATATTCAAACCAACCACTACGGAACTTCCGCTGGGCTCACTGGATCTATTCGATTTCTATGTTATTCATGCTAGCATGTGTCCAAGTTGCTCTGGGGCCGGGATCGACACCGTCATTTCGCGAGTGAACCGTGATGTTGGTGATGTGTATCTAGGTGGTGCAAGGGGAGGCAGCCAGGGGCGGTTACTGTGTTCGAGGTGCTGGAGAGAACGGGATTTCTGTGCTGGAAACGGGAGCAGGCACCATATGGTAAATATTAGTCTTAGAAGATTTGTTTGATCCAGGTAATTAAAATTATCATGATTTAAAGCTGGCCACTCTTTTGTTCATATACTTTCTTCCTAACCCTTACCAGTATAGTTATATGTTCAATCATCTCTTTGATATTTGTACCTAAATCTTTGCATGCGGAAATGTAACTTTCAATCAAGCAAAAAGCTTGAGTAAGACATTGAATTCATTGCAGTAGTATTGTATTTAATTTTAATTGCAATTACCAATTAGAATAAATAAATATTAAAAATTAAACTATAGAGAAGTCAAATGATAAAAACATTATCATAATAATTTCTCTTCATAAATTTATCAATTCTTTTTAGTTACTTATATATATCCAAAGATAAATTCTTGATTTGATATCATAGTTCATTTGAGCTATTTGAAGTACTCATCAGTCATCTGCTAAGTAGTTGTCAAATAGTTTCTAAGTATTTATAGTTTTAGAAATGAGAAGTATAAAAGTGCTCTTCAGTAATTTCTTTGAGATGTATTCATGCTGTTATAAATTTATCAAATTTATTTTCTTTTCATCATTTTTTCTAGTTCTTTTGAATATTACTCACATTCTTCTTATTTCATTTTGCAGTGAAAACACAAAGAAATAAGCTTGACTAAATGATAAAAAGAGAGAGGTTTTCAGAATAGTTTTGTTGGTATAAAGGATTATATGATTGATAAATGATTAACAAGTTGTATTTGTTGGAGCCTAGGCTTCCTATTATGGACTAGCGCACTGCACAAATTGTAACGTAATCAATAAGCGAGTCAGCCACATAAGCAAGTCAGCCACTTCTCATCCCACTGTACAATGAGAATGCATCTATGCCTCAATCATAAAGAAAACGAGAAAGAATTATATTATCAATTATTTTCTATATGCCTAGAGCATGTATGAGCAGTATGCTCAGTAATCCCACATACACTACACTGTGGTGCTGCCTGTTTTTGTGATCAGAACTTAGCAGCCTTAATCACCTCTCTTTTTCATTCATTGATGCTTTGTACGCGATTCAAGCCTTCTTCAACCCCTAAAGCACCCTCTTGAGCTACATATGTACGGCCTCTTTCTCACTTCTTCTTTTGTTTGGCATTTGCAGCTTTTAACTCTCTGTTTTTAGCTGCTAGAATAGCAGTACTGTGCATTGCCATTTGACACCTCTTGATCAGCTGACTCAGAGCTCAATTGCTTGAACTGGGTGGACTCTGTGTACGGCACTTGGTATATTTTTTGACCTTCTCAGTCTGCTGCTCCAATTGATGTACATTATGCAGTGTGGCAGTGGCCCAGGAGGCCTGGGAGCTGTAGGAGGTCCCAGGGGGGGGTGGGGATATGCATTGTTGTATTAAGATGTGAGAGAACCTGCTCAGAGTTATATAGAACCAATTTAGCTGCTCTGAAGCCACTTTTAATGTTGTTCTCAATCAGGGCCTGCATCTGAGCTGCAGGATATAGGGCCAGAAACTTTTTCTTGTCAATATGATTGATCTCAAGCTGCATCTGATTCTCCATCTGTTGTCTGTATGCTGTTTTCAGAGAGGAGAAGCAGCCAACATCCAATGACTGGAGAAGATGAGAGGAATGAGGTGGCATATAGAGAGCAATGATCTGATTCTCAGAACAGAATTGATCAAATTCAGCAGAGGCATGGCTTCTATGCCAGTTCAGAATCAACAGTCAGTGTGTACTCTTTGTATGGGGTAGGGTCCGCCAAATGGAGATCTTCTTGAAATATCACGTCTTTCGACGTGTAAAGGCGACCGTTAGAAGGATCGACCAATCTATAATTAGTAAATCCATCATAGCCCGTAAATATAAGCTCCTGCGATCGCGAGGCCATCTTCATATTCGGCTTGGGCACTATTTTTAAATAAGCCTTGCACCCCCATCGGCGAATCCCGCGTGCGGAGGGCAGGGCCCCGAGCCAAGCTTCATATGGGGTAACCGGCTTCGGATCCGGATCCTCTACACCGTTATAGAGCTTGGCTGACGTTGGCATAAGGTTAAGCATTTCGGTCGCCGCAATTACCGCCTCGCCCCACATCTGGGGGGGGGGGGAGGAGGAATCTATTAATAACGTTCGGGCTTTTTCGATAATCAGGCCAATAGAACGTTCGGACACACCATCTTGCTGCGGAGTGTGGGGCGGGGTTGGTTCCCATTTAATACCCTCACTCATCATATAGGCGGCTGCGGCGTTTGAATTCAACTCGCCGCGGTCAGAGTGGATAATCGCAACACCGCGATTGAGCAGATTCTTCATAAATTGGTTGAAGGTCCGTATATATTTTAGAGCCTCATTGCGGCGCTCCAATAGGAAGGTCCACCGTATTCGTGTGGCATCGTCAGTGATCACCATCGCGAGCTTCTTACCTGAATAAGATGGTGTATCTTCTTCATTACCAAGCGTTTCTCCACCCCCAAATAGGTCCACCCAGATCTTAAGACCTTTGCGGGTGGCACGGCGTAGCGGGGTGTTTTTATAACTTGCACGTTTATGCTTGGCTTTAACGCACGTGGCGCAGAACGAGAGCTTCTTCGGGCCGATGATGGCGATTCCGAAACGGGGCTCCCGCGACATTTTAATTAGATTCTCCTTGCCAATATGGCCTAATCGCCGGTGCCACTCGTCAATCGGTAGCTGCTTCGGCATAATGGCGGGTAGTCAGGTTGGTGGGGACAAAATGAAGGTATCAGTATCCGGATCCTTCGGGTTAATTAGCTGCTCCACGTCATCGCGGTTGAAAAGACCCAGTGATGCAGCGTTCGGATCATAATCCGTTGAAATCGCCCTGGGCTTCGGGACCGCCAAGTATGCCAGTGGTCCAAGCTCCAGATCATTCATAATATCCCCGAACATAGGGGGGGTGTCGGATAGAACATATATATTATTGGAATTTAAATTCATGTAGAAGATGTCATTTTCTGTAGATGCTATTATCTCAAAGTAATTTCTGATGTCCATCTGCAGATCATGGTGAATATAGCCCTGGCACTTCAATAGGCCAGTGGATATGAGGTTGGCAGATAAGCCTGGCATCAAATAGACATGGTCAAATTCAATTAATCTTTCCCTGACTGGGATGGAGGTGACTCTGATCCCTTGAACCTTCAAAGTAGCCTTATTGGCCACTTGAATCATAGGGCCACTAACCTCTGTTATTCAGGAAAATCATGATTGATCACATACAATATGACATCCAGCTCTGCTATCCCATATGGTGAGTGGGTTGATGATTGATTCAGCAGAGTACACAGACACCCCAATGACCTGCACTAGATTCATCATTTGAAACATCTCAGAGCTGCCATTTGCAGTTGATGAGGTCTTTTTGCCCTCACTACTCTTCTTATTATTATATTTTCCTATTCTCGCCGCGTTGGCGGTCCTCCATTCTTCAGGGGCACTATCTGGATTGGCTGCCCAGCAGAGCCCGCCATGACGATGCTCGCATTCCGGGCAGATTGGGAGGTCGAAATTTGAACGTCCGCCCATTCGATAGCCTCCGCGTCCCCCGGGTCGGCCCCCACGGGCTGAATTATTTTGGACGTTGCTGCTGTTATTGGAACCCGCAGCCGCATTTTCAGCCTGAGCCACGTTGGCCGAAGAATTAGCCGCCTGGGCGGCCTTCTTTGCCTCTTTGGGGGGGTTCAATCGAGAGCGAATTTCCTCCATGATCGAATGAACGTCCAACACGACAGACTTCGATTTGGACTCTTGTACCTCCTCGATTTTCTTTTGCACGTAGTTTCGCCATATATTGGGAAGTGCAGAATAGAACACGTGGAATACCACGTCATTTGGCAGTAAAATATCGAGTATTTCCAATTTCATAATAACGTCATTGAACTTATCGAAAAACGTGTGTACGTCAGTGACTTGGACACCACCCATTGATGTAAACGCCAGGACTGCTTCCCTGCAGAGCTGTGTTCTCGGGATGGAGAACTCTTCCTCAACCGCACGCCAAAGGGAATAAGCGATCCTGCCCTCATCATACTTATTAAAATGGGGCCTAATGCTGGCTGCCAACGCGTTCGAAATGAACGCGTAAAGCCAGCGATTTTTGGCCTCCCAAAAAGGAGACCATTCGGGGTCCCCATCAGGGCTTTTGACTTGCTTGTCCTCCAATATAACCCAGCATTTAGCGTCAATTAGCTTGGCCTTCATATTCGCATGCCAGGAGAGGTAATTCGAAGATCCGACCAGAGCGTTCGGCTTGGTGGCATACTTAGTGTCCTGTTTGAACTGGCTGATCGCCTTGCCGACGCGGCTATCCGGGTCGTAGAGGTTATATTGCATTCGGGACCTCAAGTTCGGATCCCATGCCGACGGTTGACCCGACGGCGGATTTGCGGGGATTGCGGCCCTGTCATTCTGAGCGCGGAGCCCCTCCAATTGAAGTTGAAGCTGCAATTCTTTGCGCCTCTCTTTTTGAAGTTCTAAATCAATCTTTTGACGTTCGAGATCCAATCTCCTCAGTTGCAATTCTTCGGAGTCAGTTGCCGGCGGCAGGTTAGGGGTCACCGCAGGCGTCTCCACCCCATCTTCTGAAGGAGTCGGATCGGCATATTCAACACGACGTAGGCGGACCGGCCTCACCGTGGTAGGGGCTGTAATCAGCCCGGCTTGCCAATTGGGCGTTTCGGGGGGTCCAATATTGGAACTCTTGAACGCCCCTGGGGGGGTCTGTGAGCTCAGGCCCCCCTGGTCATTTTCAGATCGGTCAGATTGGCTGGATTGGCTTGATCGCGACCGCGAGCGAGTCATCATACATTCCGCCATGTCGTATTAATCTTCTTTATAACGGAGTAATCTTATTCGGCGAGATTCTTGCCTATAAGCTTGATTGAGCGGATTGGCGCGTTCTTGTGCGATCAGTCGCTGAAAAATTAGCGAGTTGCAGATTTTTTCACCCGCTAAGCGAACAGGTTGAACACAGAAAAAAAAAAATAATATAAGAGCGCGCCAAATCGATCAATTGACATAAAATAAGACAATATTATATTGAATGAAGCGAGTAGCGATTAATATACGCTATATTTGGCAAGAATTCCCCGAATTGGCAGTTATTTGCGCAAAACGGGTCTCATAACCTGTGAAGGATATAGATTGCTTGATTGATTATGAAGCGATCACTAGCTACGCGGAAGTTATATATACGGTGCGGATTACGTAATAAGGCGGATAGGCCTGACATTTTTAACTTTAGAAAAAATAAAAAAATAAAAATAAATTCAAAAATAAATTAAATTAAATTCAAAAAAAAAAAAAGGTCAGATATTAAATATCCCCTGCAACACTCAGGATGGCACGTTCCATTTACAGCCTTTTCATCAGGGGCCAAACGTTGCTACGAAAGCATTCAAGGAAACCGTCATTCAAGCTTCAACCGTGGAATATAATTAATTCTCTGTGCGCCATCCCACTCAAGTTCTATCACTTATATGTACCTGGTGACTGACAATTCGCTCAACGACAAGAGGAAATGTGAAGACAGAAAGCCCCGTCCCTCGCATATGATAGTTTTACCCAAGGGAAGTAAAACCAAGCTGCCTGGGACATTGCCAAAATAATACAGCTTGTGGGCCCTCTGGAACGCAATGAGGGTTCAAAGTGCACACTGGAGATTGAGCTGGGAAGTCTTTGTAGAGCGAGGAATCATGAAAATGAGCAGTCTTAAGGAGGAACTCGCCCAAGTTAATATGCCAGCTGATTCCATCGATTTTACTCAGCATCTTCTGACGACCCTGATCATAAGAAACGGCCAACAGTAGAGGATGCATTGCAACATCCGTGGCTTTGGGGGTTTGGGTTGAGGCAGCATCAGAGCCCATCTTAGCGGGTTTTTACTCCTGAATTATGATACCCCAAAATTTAATTTGTGGTTCTGCCCGCCCTTCTCAGAAGGTTTATTACAGCGAATTAAGTCTCCCTTAACACCTTCTCAGAGTTCTTGCTGAATCACTTGAGACATTTGCACCGAATCCCTGATGAACTCATGGCCTAGAATCTTCAGTTGAGACCCTTGCCAACTAGAACTCCGGTCAACCAAGTCATGAAATAATTAATTGGTTACCAAACAAGAACAGGCTTGACCGTGAGGCCGTCGGCCATCTCCTCCAACGCCAGCTGAAAATCCTCAACTTTGAACTTTTTAACCAATTTTTCTAATGGTAACTTTCCCTCTCGGTACCACTGGATCATCTGTGGTATATACTCTCTCGACACCGTATCGCCTTCAATCGTCCCTGTAATGCTTTTCCCACTTACAATCAGAGATGCAAGGGGGATGTTCAATTCTGTCCCTGGAGCTGGACTTCCTATCTGTATATACTGACCTCGGGACGCCGTAAAAGCAATCCCAGCTTCAATAAGAGGTAGGACACCTGTCGTATCAATGGTGATCGTCGTTCCAAGACGCCCATCTGTCTGGTCGAATACACGTTGTATGAGCTTCTGCATGTCGCCGCCTGTAGCTGTCGTATTGATGACATGGGTCGCTCCAAGTTCCTGCGCCAGTCGCGTACGACTTTCAACCAGATCAATGCCGATGATAACCTTACAACCCCTTATCTTTGCAGCCATGATTACACTGAGGCCCACCCCACCAAGGCCCATGACAGCAATGGCATCTCTTGGACCGGCATTGGCGACGTTGGTAATTGATCCGCTTCCAGTTTGTACGCTGCATCCCAGCGGCGCGAAGAGTATTAGTTCGTCCGAGGAGTGGACGAGACCGCTCACATTGACAATGGAGCTCTCAGCGGCGACGGTGATGTTGGAGAAACTGGATTGACCGAAGAAGGAGCCGCGTATGGATGGTTCTTGTTGACCTGACGAAGAGACGGAAAAGTCCATCGATCCAACGAAGTTGAGTTCGCTGAACCTTGTGCAGTGTGCCGGATGCTCGCTTGAGCATAGGCCACATGCCCCGCACGATGCGAAGGAGAGAATAACGGGGTCTCCCCGCTTTGCAACAGTGACTCCTGCTCCGATATCTTCGACATATCCAGCTCCTAATTGAAGTCAGTGGTAAGTTTATAGCAGTAGGATTCATCCGAGCCGTGTCATAAAATTAAAATGTCAAAAATCAAAATCGCAGCCGTCATACCTTCATGGCCCAGGATCCTAGGATACCCTCCAAATAAATGCCCCACCTCCGAAATAAGCAGGTCTGTATGGCAAATTCCTGTCGCCACAACTCTTACTAGTAATTCCGTTTTCGCAAGCGGGCGAAGTGATATATTTTCTACCTTCCACGGAGTCGATTTTGCCGGACCGCGAGTCACAATGGCGCGGGTAACAGCCGTTGAATTTGCCATTTTTATTAATTTATTTTCGTGGCTAAATATCTCAACAGCCCTTGGGTGGAAAATCTTGAAGAATTAAAGGGGGCTCGAGTAAAGACTTTAGTTAAAGTGGCAGATGGGAACCGCGAACCGGGTAAATAAACACAATGTTTTATATACACATAGTTATCGTTCAGACTGAAAACAAACGTGTCATGCAGAAACACATCAGACAATAAATACGGACACAAACGCAGTCAGCTGATGAAACGAAGAACCCACCGAGATTCCAGGTAAAGCGGGGACGGAGACAAAATACTTTCCCTGTCACTCTTATTTTATTCTCCGGGCGGGGGGGGGGGGGGGGGGGTGAAGCACACTCTGCGACAGACTTACCAGGCCACTTCGGAGTGCCTAGACACTAACGGAGACTGGCTGCGCAGCTTTCAAGCTGGCTATCGGTGGCGGCAGTTGGCTGTCTTCCTACATAGGCGGGGTTAACTTGGGAGGGGGGTGCGTGCTGCTGATTCAATCAGAGCAAGGTATCCTCCGTATACCGACTGAAGTCCTGTGCTGTATATCCAGTGCTATGCTTCGAACTGAGTAGTTACTTGATAATCATCATAAACTAAGAATAGGGGGTTAATAAAGTTTAAGTGTGACCTCGTTATGTCAATCTTATCAAACTGCTTATGATTAAATAGGAGAACGAACAGAGTTGAAAAGAACCCCTGGTGTCTTTAGGCTTGGAGCTCGCAGAGTTAAGTAGTCGGGTAGGTCTCTCAAATAAGAATCACCAATGATTTCGCAGCGACATCGGTATGTCTGGCCCCGATGTCTTGCGCAGTCCTGTTTGCCTAACAGCTTAGCACTGTTGTCCACCCTTTCAACGACATTTTTTAACCCAATATTTAAACCAGACCCACTCCCGGAGCTCCACACTCTGTGCCATTTGATGAAGCGGAATGCCGCTGTGCTTAGTTTTACGCGTCGTCGGAAAGGAGACCAAGTTCATGATACCTGACTTGAGGCAGGTATTCAAGACTCGGCAGTCGAGCGGGCAAAAGCCATCATTGCAGAGTTATCACATCTGCCGTCTTGCTTCCGTAGTGGATCGATTGAAAAGCTGGAACGTATCGTTCGGATTTCCCACCTGGAGTGACTACAGACCCAAAGAGCTACTTTGGCGTGGTTTGATAGCCCGGTTTGAAGCTGAAACGGTAGATGGGATCATGCAACATAACACATGCAAAGTACAGTTAGTAAAAGGAGTAGATGAGTTCATGTCCATGCCGCTCACAGATTTCTTGAGCTTTTCGCAGCGATGTTAAGGGGCTTTAAACGAGTCAAATGTTAGATGCATCGTTTTTAGAATCAAAAGGCATATATTTCAGAAACAAGATGCGAACAAGACCTTAACTAAATAATTGGACATATCGAACCGAATCCAGGATCAGCACATCTCTCACAACTGGAAAATTGAACTGGAAATATACAGATAACGGAATGTGTATTCATTGTGTTTAGGGCTTTTTTGCAACGTTTCTAGCTCATTTTGAGCTTTGCATTGTTGACCATAGTTTCCCGATCCTGGATCAGGTTGCTAAGTCGTCAGAGCTATTAGAGTAGGGCATGAGGTGGACACTGCTCTGCCTCTTTCAAACTCACGGATGTGCATCCTGCGTAGAAATGCAACCCACTGCGATCAGCGGAGTGAAATCCGGCAAGAGGCAAAGAGAAGTCATAGAAAATCACAAGAGAATACCAGGCAATCTTCACTGTAGTGTATATGAAGAGAATAGCCGAAATATAAAATAAAAGTCAGTTCATATTTCTCCCACTTTTCTTGAGGGAGGTTCTCTCCTTTTAATTATTTTCTTTTCTTTTCTTTTTTGTCCCTTCGCAAAATAAATAAGTGTGTGTCCCTTCCTTTTCAGCTAAACACGGGGCTGTAGACGACAAGGCCTAACAGATCCCAAAAGGCCGCATCCCCAGATACAAACCCTCATAAGATAAAAGCTTCCCAAAGCATCGAAGAGTCCTAGAACGTCCAGTTGACCGATGATCATTGACCGTGACAGGTGACAATTTTCCGGATAGTAACTCTACCGGCAATGTGAACAAAAAGGACAAGAGACTTGCAGCCAAACGACAGTACCCCTGATATTAGATGGTGGTATTTGGCTGAGAGGACAAAACAGCACACGAGATATAAAAAAGGAAAAAGAGAAACAGGAAGGCAAAACACATCTAAGCCACCTCTTCAATCTTAGGCTCCGACTCAGCATTGCCTGCTTCTTCTTCTTCTTCTTCTTCTTCTTCTTCTTCCTCCAGTTCGGGCATATCATCGTCCTGAGAGAGTAGATGTGTTAGTACTTAGGTATTTTTAGCCTGTCTAGGGGAAAGGAGAAAGGTATGTTGCATACTGATTTCTCCCCGACCTCGTTTTCGCCATCTGCTCCGCCGTCCATTCCGCCCAAACCTGGCATTCCACCCATTCCACCAGCACCCAGTTTCGAGAAGTCAATAGCGCCAAGACCATCATCGCCCATGCCGCCGAAGTTGCTGTAGTCGTCCTCGATTACGGTGTCTTGCTCGTCCTCATCAACCCACTGAACGCACGGGAATAGAAGCTAGTTAGACACATAATAAAATCACACGAAGGGTGTGTCGACAAAGAGCAGACTGACCTTATCGAAATCCGTCTTAAGGAAATGAGCTTTCTTGGCATCCTTCAAGAAACGAGGCCAGTATTCCGCATTGAGCTCCTTCTTTCTTAGCACGAGATCGACGCCGCGCGGAGAGTGATGTGATTTCGAGTTGTCGACGTCAATTTCACCGTACAGCTCGAGGTCGACCTTGTAGTCGACCTTCTTGGTGTCTGAGTGGCCCAAGAAGGATATGGAGGTGGGGGTGAGGGAGAGCTTTGCGGAGAAAGGGGGAACATCGGGGACACTAAGGTGGATGTAGAGGATATTCTTTTCGGGGTCCGTGCTTGATGAGCGCTGGGCCCAGAGGACTGTGTACCAAGTCAAGAGAAGATAGGATTAGCTAACCTCCGTACAGCAATTCATAGAGGCATGTTTATCAGATTGAACGCATATTGTGACCCCCCACGCCCTCTTTGGAAGCTCAGAAAAGCATGCATACCAGCTAGCTAGCTCCTGGAAGCGAGGGTGAGGGAGGATAAAAAGATGGGGAAGAGGGGTAGGAAACTATTGACATACCTTCGGGTGTCTGAGTGGCAGCCATTGTGAGAGAACAAGATTGGTTTGTGGCGGATTGCTGGGGGGAGCGAAGGGGGAGAGAGGGGGGGGGGGTTTTCAGCGCAGATATAAGATGCAGACGAGCAGATGTGCAGATGGTGTAAAAGGTATACACTGGGTGGGAGAGAGAAGATGCTGGCGGTGGATGTTGGATGTTGGACGTTGAGTGTTTGATGGGCGAGTGGTATGTCCTTTTGCGCTGCCTTTGTGTGGCGCTTGGCTGGGTCTGTGTTTGGAAAGTACTGGAACCCCCTAGATAGCAGTCACGTGAATTGGGTCTGTTTTCAGGCTGACTAAGCAGCTTGCGGGGTGTTGAACCAATTCGATGATGTCGACGCTTGCAGCGAAAGATGATTCGAAGACTTCGTTACCTAGAATGCATAAGTAACTAGGTACAGGTGCACTATGATAACGGTAGATTAGATGGTATCCATATATATGAAACGGTGATACTATTCTGATAATCGCTACGTTATAATTCCGTCCGCCATTGCAAGACTGTGTTCATCTCCCCGCCGCCGCAGTCTCCTATCTCTTTAGCTACCAACAGCCAACTGTCCTCACATATTTCACTGAAACCTTCAACAACACCCGTTATCCCCTTACAGTGCAACAGCAATCGGCTATATCTGTACTAGTAGAAGGAAGGCATCCATGAGTATCCTCTCTCACCCCTTACGAAGTTGCCCGTGAACCAAGACACACAAGTCTCCAGGCCGTACGGCCACTCCACTGTCTCTAATGGAGTCTCTCAAAGCAGTGTTTTTCGGGCCGGACCCCGCTGCGCAGGTATGCGACTCTCATGCTATTATGCTCTTATGTTCTTATGCTCTTATACTCCTATGCTCCTATGCTCCTATCCACAGGCAGAGGGTAAAAGACAAACCGGCGCTAACTACGCTCTTCAAAAATACATGTTATAGATGAGAAAATGCAATAGCCTCATCCGAAGCAATGCGCGAAAGCTAGACAGGGACATTGCCCAGCTCAAAGCTCTAGAGGCCAAGACGAAACAATACATCGTTGCTGCGTCGCGACGGGCAGAGCGCAACCCATCTCAGGCGGCACAGGCGGCGAAGGAGACCCGCACATTTGCTAGGGAGATGGTGCGGATCAGAAAACAGAGCAGCCGGCTGATGACGAGCAAGGCTCAGCTGGAGAGTGTGAAGATGCAGGTTAACGAGGCTTTTTCCGTGCGCAAGATTGAGGGGAGTCTTCGGGCTTCGACGGGGATCATGAAGACTGTCAACCATCTTGTCCGGCTGCCTGAGCTTACGGTGACGATGCAACAGTTAAGTACGTTACTTAGCTCCTTTATAATTTTACTGCCCCCCCAAAAACAAACAAACAAACAAACAAATTCCCTCCCCCCACCACCCCC